TGGAGCTGATCCCTGGCCCTGACCATGTGAGCACTTTTTGGCAAAGGCACCAAGGGCTCAGGCCAGACTCTAGACCTGCTGCGTCTGCCCACCTTGACCAGAGTTGTCATTGTCACCCTCCTTCCCTGGGCTAGGAGTGCCCACAAGCTTCAGCCCTCATAGAGCCAAGTACTCTGCGGGGAGAGCGCCATCAACACAAAACCAGCCAATAAACAGAACCTGTGATTTCTTTCCATGCCCAATGGAAGAAGACAAACACACTGAAGTGGGTAGTCACCTATCAGCCCTGATTTATATCCTACTTGAACATCTCCTCAAAGGAAACGAAAGGCATATTTTCAACAAATATAATCGTTTATAGCTTCTAAAGGGGAGCTGGATTGCTTCATGATGATTACCTGGGATAAAATCCAATCAGCTCCTCTGTCAGTCACCCTGAGGCAAGTGGGCAGGAGTTGTTCGCTTTCTGGTGAATTATTCCCTAGGAAGGAGCAAGGATCCCGCACAGCTCATTCTGCATGGGTACGGCCTATAGCAAGGGATGAGAAGCAATGCCATTCCACAGCGTGGGAAGGGGCCTCATTGCAGCCCCGAGGCCCCGTGAAATAGTAGCACTGGACTCAACCTGGGCCAGGCTTCAGGGGACCAGCTAATCTGCTCAACGGCTACAGCAATGCTCTGAGTGAGGGCAGATGGTGAACTCCAACCCTTCACTAGGGCACTGCCCTCCCTGGCCACACACCACACTCACTTTGCTACAGAAATCAAGCAGCACAGTGCTGCGCCAGGTCCCTGGCATCTCAGCAGCCTCGCCAAAGTGCTGCAGGCTAAACACCACCATCCAGGGCCCAGAGGGCACTTCCTCATCGTCATGATGTTCAGACAAGCATAAGGCACAGGGTAGATCTGCTCCAAGGCTGTTCAGGGAACATGTGGGCTCGTTTTCCATTTGACAAAGATTTGTTAAGGACCTACTATGTGTCAGGAGCTCTGGTGGTGTAGTACCTAAGGCATCTGACTGCTAACCAGATGGCTGGTGGTTCAAACCTATCAGCCACTCCTTGGAAGGAAGATTGGGCAATCTCCTTCTGTAGAGATACCACCTCAAAAACCCAAGGAGGGGTCACTATGAGTCAGAAACGACTTGATGGCAGTGAGTTTGGTTTGGTTTATGTGTCAGTCACGGGGCCACACACAGTGGGGAAGGGGACTGATGAGGCTCCAGGGGGATGACATCTTCCACGGGGCAGAAAGATCCTGGTTGGTTATACAAACACTTCTGCCAGGCAAGGAACTGCGGACAGTGAAAAAGAACCAGGCTACTGTGATGGGAGGGGATGGTGTAACCTTAGCCAGATGGGTGGACGCATGGGTCCCTCCAAGGAGGAGGCAGCGTGTGGACTGAAGCTTGAGCAAGTTGCCTGAGGCAGCCACACAAAGAGCTAGAGAAGAATAATGAATGAAAAGTCTCAAGGCAGGAGAGAGCTGTGAGTTAGCGCAATGGTTCTCAAAGTGAGCTTCAGGGAACCCCCAGGGTTCCCAGGATCCAAGCTGTTTTCAGAATGATAATAAGACATGCACAGAGTTTTCTAAAGGCCACACTATGTATGGTATCCCAACAGGCTGAGGACAGAAGGCAGCGTGAAGACCCCAGTATCTTCTATTCCTAAATAGTAAAGAGATCTTAAAAAATGTAGGATGTTATTTTGATTGTTTATTTTGGAAAGCAGAGGTGTTTTGATAAAAAACTATGGTATTTATATAACAAGTGATGAGTGTATTGTTCTTTGAATACATACATACATATGTAAATATCCTTTAGGTTTCATTTCTAATACAAACAGCGAGAGATACCATCCACACAGACCAAAGTTCTTTGGGGTCCTCAGTCACGCTGAAGCGTGTACAGGGATCCTGAGGTGAGTTTGAGAGGTGCTGACTTAGGGGTGCAGCAGGAGGCTGGTTCTTGAGGTGTGGAGTGCACTGTAGGAGCTGTGCCTGACTAGCTGACTGGGGCCGATCACATGGTGCCTGGCGGTTAGAGCCAGAGATCTGGACTCCGTCCTAATGCAGCAGGAAGCTACTGGAGGGTTGTGGGCGGGGCATGACATAACCTGATTTATATTTTAGGAAGATCCTCTGGCTGAATGGAAGGGAGAACAGGACTGGCAGGTGGCTGGGGAATCGTGCTCCAGCCATGGTCTTAGAGACAGACGCTGGAGGCTGAGGGGATAGAAGGTGGGGTATTCTGGAGATGGTGGGACAATAAGAAATTAAGGGTGACACTTGTTTGAACACTGAGTGGTTGTGGGGCCGATGCTGAGACCAACGCAGAGAAGAACAGAGGCTGGCAGGAGGGGCAGGTGAGGCCAGCTGCTGCCTCCCCATCACCACCATAGCTCCTGCCCGCCCACCCTGACTCAGACTGAGGCACAGTGACACCTATTTGCTCTTGGGGTCACATCGCCAGTCCCAACAGCCCAGAGAAGTCACACTGGGGCATGTAGTTACCCTGGTCCTCTGGGCCTGAGCGTATGGTACTCCCAGGAGCCATCAGAAGAGAGACACAGCCCAGGGCTGAATGGCCGCCTCCAGCTGCTGCCTGTGACCCACTGAAGTCCCAATGGACAGTATCACACATCCCGAGCCTGGGATCGTCAGCTGGGAAGGCCCAGGCCACGCAACAGGGCCACATCCCCAGCAGCTGGTAACCTCACACCTCTCCTGGAAGCCCAGGGCTGGTGGGAGAAGTCAGCAAAAAATCACAGTAAAGCATTCCACCAACAGAAACATTATGACGTGGATGCTGAAGAATGTGACACTTGGTCCTGTTTACACCCACCTTGTTCCAAAAACGAGTGGAAGGGATAAAAAGCCTGTGCTTTTCTTGGTAACCAGTAAGTTCCCAAGCTGAAAGATGCTCCAGTGACCCCAAAGCAAAGATTTTTCACCAGGCCCATTGTATTTAGTTAACCTAGACCCACAGTCAGCAATTATATTTGCTAAGCAACCACCTCTACAGAACATGGAGCTAGCTAGAGAATTAGTTTAACAAGGAATCCTCCAGACCTGGAACTGGCAGGATCATATCTACTCACACCTAAACCTGGGGGTGGAGCAACAATCAATCTCGCATCCCAAGACTGGTTTTAAGAAGGAAAACAGTCACAAGGGGCAAGTGGCCAAGCAACCAACCGGTGCACTCTGCTCTAGAAAGCATGATGGGACTGCAGCGCCAAGAAGAACAAAACACATCCCCTTGGTCTGGCGGAGTCACTGCTGGGAACTTCTCTGGCAGACACGTGAGACTTGTGCAGTCACAACAAGATACCCAGCGGATGTTCACTGGGACATTGTAATGGTAAAATGCTGTGGCAGACCCAAATGCCCATCAGCAGGAAGTGGTTGTAAATGATTTCTTGGTCCACGCATAGGATCCCTAGGATTGGAGTTTGTAAGATACTGTACAGCTGCTAACAGGAGTGCATCTGAGTTACAGATGTTGAGGTGGAACATGGCTTATCACCAGGTGAAATAGCCTGAGTGCAGCGGCATCACACACACACAGAACAGACCACGTGCCAAAACAAATGACCCAAAGCACAGATACACATCCAAATACACATTTTAGGAGGAGAAGCAGGCACTTGCCAACAGTGGCTACTTGTAGGGCAAAGTCGAGGAAGACTAATTTTTCATTTCATCACATCCTTACTTGTAATTTTAAGAACCGTATGCCCGGAGTGTATATTTATTTTCAACCAAAGGCTGAAAATAAAATACAGGCAATCCCCAGGTAACTAATGTCCAGTTTATGCACAATCCATAGCTATGAACCAAACCCTACAAAGCCTATTACAAATTCAAGGTACATACAGTGGTTTGTAATAACAAATGGGTGCTACTTTGTGATGCAGTCAAAACAGTATTATTTTATTATTAAATATGTTTTAGTTTTTCTGCAAGTGTTTCTTTAACTTCTTTTATGCGTAGAAAGGTACACTACAAGCTATTTACTAAGACAAACATCTGACTAACACGACAAGCTATTTACTAAGACAAACATCTGACTAACTGACGTTAGATACAAACCGTACCTAACTGTTTCAACTTACGTACAAATTTGACTTACAGATTTAGGAATGGAACTTGTTTGGAATCCAAGGACGTGCTGTAAATCATGTGGGGAAAACAAGGACCCTAATCTTGGGCAGGCTTTTTTTGGCTGCATTTTGCTTTTGAATCAACATTTGCTTCTGAAAACATTTTTCAACACTTGCAATTTAGGATTAGAACCCTAACAGTGGGGTGAGGGCTTGGCTGGTTGTCTGAAGTTTTGTAATCCAGAGTAACGGTTTCTTTCGAGGGATTGGGGTGCATGTGGAGCTACTTAGAGCCGCTATGTCAGCACAGAAGGCGGGAGCCAGCTCTTCTGTGGGAGAAGCGGATCTGTCCGCTCTGCTAAGTTGCCCTTGAGCTTTGTGTTTCTCTTTGTGGGGAGGTGGAGAGAAGCTAGAGATCTGCTGGTGGAAGTGGGAAGAAACCCTCCGATGGGCTGAGCAAGGAGTCACCCCGGGCAGCACCACTTCCTCTGAGTCTCACTTCTTCAGGAGTTAGGAACAGGAGCACCCCTACTACCTCTTTCTAGTCATCCTGCTCAGAGAGGGAAATGACTTTCCCAGAACTTCATTACTAACAATCTAAGTATTTCTATGAAATTTCCAAGAAACTTCTTAGTCTTAATTCTTAGAAATTCTTCCACATACCCAACAAATCTCTGGAAATTAAACCAAGACAGCAAAACTACAAGTAAAGCCAGGACTTTTTTCTGGGCTTGTGTTTAACCTTGTGTCATACCTCGATCAGTTCTAAGAAACTAGAGCTTCAAGCTGCCTGGATTTCTGAGAGGGATGGGCAGCTCATTCAGGTGTCACACAGACGAAGCCCTCTGGGCCCCACCAATGGGAACGAGACGTAGTGTAGGGTTGGGGCTGGCTTACCTGGCACCTTGTCCACGGACGCGAACACAGAGCGCTGCACTGTGGGGTCACTGCTGCCCCGGCGGCACTGGTCGTAAAAGCGGAAAGGCAGGTGCTGGGTGGGAGCGGTGGAGCCGAGTCCAAACCCCAGGACTTCGGTTGCCGGCTGGATTGGGAGGTCCAGGAGGGCTACGTTTAAACAACACGCAGTTCATTCTCAGCACTAAGGGGGTCAGGGGTGCAGACGAGGCTTCGTGTGGGGGTGTAGCAACCAGAGTGGCTGCGGGCCTTGCCAGGTGCACTGGGAGATGCTGGGCAGGCAGCCTTGAGTGGGGAAATCAGCGCAATACCAAAGAGACTGCCTGAGACTCAAAACAGGCGCTGGTGTCTGCAGGGGTGTTCAGGCCAAGGTGGAGAACAAGGGGACCTACGCCTGTTCCTTGAATGAAAACAATGCTGGGCCGGTCTCCACCTCAGATTCTCAGCTTCCACACGTAAAAGACCCTTGCGAGGCTTAGCTTCTGGGGCCGTTTCAGACCGCAGAGTAAATGGGGACAACTCTGCCCTGAAAGTTCGTTCACTCATAGATGTGCACACACACAACACAGTGTGTGTACGGGGAGGAGTGTGCATGGGCGTGTACCTGTAAGCAGGTATCTAGGTGCACACACAACACACAGTGTGTGTACGGGGAGGAGTGTGTATGGTCGCGTATCTGCAAGCAGGTATCTAGGTGCACACACAAAACACACGATGTGTGTATGGGGAGGAGTGTGCATGGGCACGTACCTGCAAGCAGGTATCTATGTGCACACACACACACAATGTGTGTACGGGGAGGAGTGTGTATGAGCGCGTACCTGCAAGCAGCTATATATGTGCACACACACAGTGTGTGTACGGGGAGGAGTGTGCATGGGCGTGTACCTGCAAGCAGGTATCTATGTGCACACACACGCACAATGTGTGTATGGGGAGGAGTGTGTATGAGCACGTACCTGCAAGCAGGTATCTATGTGCACACACACAACACACAATGTGTGTACGGGGAGGAGTGTGTATGAGCGCGTACCTGCAAGCAGGTATCTAGGTACACACACACACATACAATGTGTGTACGGGGAGGAGTGTGCATGGGTGCGTACCTGCAAGCAGGTATCTATATGCACACACACACACAATGTGTGTATGGGGAGGAGTGTGTGTGAGCATGTACCTGCAAGCAGGTATCTATGTGCACACACACACAATGTGTGTATGGGGAGGAGTGTGCATGGGCGTGTACCTGCAAGCAGGTATCTAGGTGCACACACACACATACATTGTGTGTACGGGGAGGAGTGTGCATGGGCGAGTACCTGCAAGCAGGTATCTATGTGCACACACACACAATGTGTGTACGGGGAGCAGTGTGCATGGGCACATACCTGCAAGCAGGTATCTATGTGCACACAATGTGTGTACCGGGAAGAGTGTGCATGAGCGCGTACCTGCAAGCAGGTATCTATGTGGATCTGTCACAGCTGCGGACTCCCTTCCGGAAACAAATCTCAGGAAAGATCAATTTGGTAGGGCTTTTTAAAAGCAATTTACGAAATACCCAGGGTGTTAGTTCTAACAACCACTTTACAGCATAATTCTCAATTTTCAAATGAAATATTTAGCCTTCATGCCAGCTGTGAGAAATTGCTTTACATTAAAAAAAAAAAAAAAAAAAAAGCCCTCTGAAAATAAATCATAAAAGAAAGGACTGAGTGATTTAAATCACTTTGCACATTACAAAATGCTTCTGTAATGATTCTGCAGGCCAAGTTTCAGCTGAATGAGAGATGAGACGAGGCCGCCACGGGACGCAGGCCCACCCAGATCAACCAGGACCGTGGCGGCATGCAGGAACTGCTGTGTCCAGAAACTCAGCCTTCCAGGACTGACTGTGAGGTGTCCCCTCACCCTGAGGGGCTGGAAATCTGTCCAGCAACCACCTGAGAAGGACTGCCCCTGCCTGAGCTGAAAGGTGCTGGGTATTGTGCGGAAGACTGTTTATAAAATCTCAGAAGACGCAACAGGCGCCTTCTCCCCGAGGACTGCCGGGCCTTCCACCCTGTTGAGCAAATGCCCTCAGTCACTGAGCTTTACTTCTGAGAGAGCTTGGACCCTCCTCACCCCGGGAGGTCAGGCTTCCTCACAAATTCCCCACAAGCCCTAGGGAATGGAAACTGACTTGTGAGTAAAGGCATGCTGGTCCTGAGGCCCTTACCAAAGCATCTGCCTCTCCCAAGCGCTGGGAAGGAGAGGAAGAAGGGGCTGTGACAGTCAGGAGGAAGTTCTGTCAACTTGTTGCCTCTGTGACTTTGGGAAAGTCACTGAGCCTGTAAAATGGGTGGAGAAGACCCTACTGACTTCAGGGTTGTCTTCAGACTCAAAGCATTTTGTAAAGGCAAGTCAGAGAGTTTTGCTGTGGAAGAACGAGAACCTTCCCTCCTGTCTGAAAGCCCACACGATGCCTTCTCCTAGTCCGCGGCCAGGTGCAGAGGGTCCTCGTCTCTTCCACACAGCCCCTGAGTCTCTAGAAACCAGACACCTAAGAAGAGGACGGTCCTGAGTGGACTCTCCCCACGAGAGCACAATCACCTCCTGCTGCATCTGTCCCCTTCTAGAATAGCTAGGGGACGCTCAAGGTCCGTGTGAGGACCACGCCAACAGCCTCATGGCTGCTTCTGTCCCCTAAGGGCCCAGAGGACCCTCCTCCAGGGCCCACTGCTCACCAGCTATCCTCTGCATCTTCATGCGCCTGGCCTGGATACGGCCCTTGGCCAGGCGCTGCTTGGCGATGATGCAGCGGATGTGGTCCGAGAAGACAAAGGTGGCCTGGAGGATAGGGAAGGGCTTGGAGTGGGGGCTGGATGCCGGCTTGTGGATGGTGATGTTCAGGGCACGGCTGTCATCCTCGACCCCAGTCACCTGCATGTCCTGCAGAGGGAAGAGCAAAGGGACAGGTGTCTATCAGGCTCAGGGCAGGGGTGGCTGCTCAGAAGCTGTGGGACCCATGGATCCCACAGGCCCCCAACCCTGCTGGGTTTCTCTGGGAGAAAGGCCTGGCAATGTGTGCCTGTAAATATTACAACAACGACTACCATGTGAAGCACAGTTCTACCCATCATGTGGGGCCATCATGAGTCAGAATGACTGGATAGCACTAAGAACCACAACAAACTAAACTGAAAGAGGGCCCCCAAGTCTGACTTTCTTTTGTGGTGAAGGAGGCTATCCGTTTCCCAAGTCTAACAGAATCAAGGATGCAAGGCTATGGGCACCCTCACCCTGTGGGAAGGACGGCTTCTGGGAGCAGCCACTCTGGAGGGCATGGCACCCTCGACTGATACATAAAAATGCTTGGATGCTATGGCCCAGCAAGCCTACCTCTTGGTACCTGGCCCAGAGAAACCCTCATGGACGTGCTCAGGCCGGCTTTATTGGAACAGCCACGAGGTTAGGACACAGCAACGAAGGGGAACAGCCCAAGCGCCCAGAGGTGGGTGGAGGGCTAAGCCAGCAGGAGCAGGTTAGACTAGGCAGTGGTTAGAAAGGGTGAGGCAGATTTCCACATGCAATGACAGTGACAGATCTCCAAGACAGACCACTGACAGAACAAGCAGGTGGCAGAATGACCCCTCCTGCTGAAGAGCTGACCCTGACTCATAGAGGCCCCACAGGACAGAGCAGGGCTGCCCGTAGGGCTCCTAAGGCTGCCCGTAGGGCTCCTAAGACTGTACAATGGAGGTCAGCAGGCCCTTCCTCCTGTGGAGCTGCTAGTGGGTTCTGTCTGCTGACCTTCCGGTCAGTTCAAACAGCTGAGTGCTTCATCACTGAGCCACCAGGGCACCTCTGGAGACCAACAGGCACGGCTTTGTATCACTAATGTAAAACACAAACAACTTTCTCTCAAACGCAGTACATATTTCCCAAATGAATAAGACACAGCTTTAGCCTCCAGGAGTTTAAGATATGACAGCAGCTAAGAGATCCACAGGTGTGATCAATCAAACAGTAACAATAATAACACAAGAATTAAACAAATCATACATGAGCATGTAAGGATTTAAAAAATTCTACAAAGACACCAAGAAGAGAAGAAATGACAACAGTGACATGAAATTACTAAAAGATGTATATTATGATGCCTTTTTGGTGAAAAAAAAAGGAGCTTTTATATTTACTTTTTGTCATTGTGTGCCACTGAGCCAATTTTCACACACAGGACAGAGTAGAACTGCCCCATGGTGTTTCCTAGGCTGTGACCTTTACAAGAACAGAATGTCAAGTCTTTTCTCTCACAGAGCAGTTGCGGGTTCAAACTGCCGACCTTTCAGTTAGCAGCCAAGCACTTTACCCATTTTTCTACCAGGGCAGAGAGAGTCAGGAACTAAGGCAGGTGCGTGGAGCATGGGGATGCACTGGGTAAATGACAGGGAAAGCTTTCCCTGAGAACCAGCCTGTATTTCCTGGCTGTAGAAACCTTGTGAAATGTACAGCGTTGCAGGGAAAGGAGTAAACACTACCACGAGTGCAGCTGGAGCCTCTCTTAAGGAGGCTGCCTGATTCACAGCCCTGCCTCCCTCAGACCAATGGCCCTCAGATGCCAGCTCCTCAAAATTCCATCACGGGCCCTGGCTAATCCAGGGTTGGGACTGAGATGGACCAGCAAGATTCTCTCCTGAAAATCTGGTATCTGGAAGATAGAGACACAGACCACAACTTTCTGGAGCTGAGTTTGTTCAATGGGAATGGTGATTATTATCTATACCTGACTGGCCAACACAGTAGCCAGTAGCCACATGTGGTTACTGAGTACTTGAAATGTGACGAATCCAAATGGAAATGTACCATGAATATAAAATACACACCAGGCTGCTAAGACTTAGCGTAAAAAAACAGGACACAAAATACTTCATTGATAAATTTTTATACTGATTACATGTTGAAAGGATACTAAACTCAAACACTCATTGCCATCGAGTCGGATCTAACTCACAGCGACCCCTCTTTGGGTTTCCAAGGTGGTACCACTATGGAAATAGATTGCCCAACATTCCTTCCGAGGAGTGGCTGGTGAGTTTGAACCACCACCCTTCTGGTTAGCAGTCAAATGCCTTAGGCCCTACACCACATACTATTTGGATATATTATGTCAAATAAAATATACTAAAATTTAAAAAAAAAATAGTAGTATCTATTTCCCATGAGAACACATACAGAATAGGTGTGGCAGGACAAACTGAAGGACGCTGGTCAGCCTTCTGCCTTCTCTAAGTGCTCCCACTTACACTTAAGGAGAATGTTGTCATGCATTACTTGTGTTATTAAAAATTAATTAAAAAATAATTACAGGGACCCTGTTTTGGTTACCCTAGTGCCATTCTGACAGGAATATACCACAAATGGGATGGCCTGAACAAACAGGAGTTCATTCTAACAGTTTTTGGAGGTTAAAAGTCCAAGTTCAAAGTGCCAGGCGCTCTAGGGGCTGGGTGAAAGCCCCTCGACTTTGGGCTTCAGCTCTGCCTCCTGCTACCAGCCCACTGAAACTGGAGACTTTTCTTCACTCAGACAGCTGCTGGCTGCTGAGGCTGACAAACCCAAGGTTGACAAGCAAAAAGGCACAGTCTCGATATCACCAAGCACGGCAGGCCACTAATTCAAGTCCAGAAAAAGCCCCAAGATTGGCAGGCCATGGCAGGCTGCTGAACAATGACTTGGCTACACGCAGGATTCAAGCATGGCAAAAAGCTGTAGACCAGTTTCAGAGCGTCTCCTTATATACAGGAAGCAGACCACATCCCTTAAGCAGCTACTTAGCTGCTCGCGGCAGGTTCCACCATGGATTTGACTGCCAGTCTCATCGTGGGGAATAAATACGACCAGCTGCTCAGCCACTCAAAACCAGGTCCAGCCAAGTTGACATATAACCTTAACTGCCACAGACCCTAAGAAGAGTCACAGGGACAGTGTGGGTTCAGTGGTAGAATTCTCGCCTTCTACATGGGAGCCCCAGGTTTGATTCCCAGCCAACGCCCCTCATGCAAAGCCCCACCCATCTGCCTGTGGAGGTCTGCATGTTGCTATGATGCTGAACAGGTTCAGTGGAGCGTCCAGACTCAGACAGACTAGGAAGAAAGGCCTGGAGGTCTACTTTGAAAAGCAGCCAATGAAACCATACAGATTACAGGGTTATCATGAGCCAGAAGATGACTTGATGGTAGCTAACATCCATGACCAGCAGTCACATGTGATAGAAACACAAATGTTACTCATGGGTAACTCCACAGTCAGGCTCCAACAATTCTTACTGTGAAGGAACCAGTGGTCAGAACCCAGATCCCCACCACCATCTGGTGTGACACCAGACATTCACTTATCTACCAACCCATTTCTTTCCTGTTCCACTTAACAACAAAAGGTTGCTTTGCTGGCAGCCAATGGTATCTTTTTGAAGAATTTTTGGTCCCTAAAGAATTTGTGAAGAAAGAAAATCTCAGGAAAGGGTGAGGGAGGGCCATTTAAGAGAGATGTGAAGAAGCTGCTTTGGAAACATGGGAAAGAAATTAATACAGAGCAAGTGGGACCAGAGCAAATGCAACCTGAAGCCTCAGACTGGACCCTGGGCAAGGGTTCTGCTTTCTACCAAGGTCTGAGGTGATTTAAGATCAAGGTACAACCAGGAGAGGCAGACAGAAAAGTCAGACATGCTAGAGGAGGTGGGAACAACAAGGAACACGGCTCATGCATAAGATGGTCACTGTCCTTAGGCATTATACTTGGCACAGCCTGCTTGGAAGTAAGAGCCACATCGAGGTGCTGAAGTGAGACTCACATGCGAGACTACACGTCACGCAGAGAAAGCTTAGCACGTAGTAACGACCTGACAAATAGTAGCTACTGGAAGATGACCAAAAAAAAAAAAAAAAAAAAGGTTTTTGTGGCTTTCATTGTCTGAGAGAGGACATGTATTAATCCTCCAGGGGAGAAAAACACTTTCCTAACACTAATTTCTAAAGGAAATGGATCATAAGACTGGGTGAGGAAATAGCAGGAAGTCACCTACCGCACACTGCCTTACGTGGGAGTCTTTTTAAAATGAAAGATTCATCGCATAGCTGTTTCTCGCATCATCCTCTAGAAGAGACATTGTTTAAGTGGAAAGAGCCATCCCAGGAAAGAGGAGCAGCAGAAAGGTGGCAGTGTTGTGGATTCTAATCCACAGCACCCCGTGTGATAGGACAGAACTGCCTCACAAGGTCTCCTAGGTGGAAATCTTGACAGGAGCAGACCGCCAGGTCTCTCTCCAGTGGGGTTGTGGGATGAGTCTGATTGCCAGCCTTCAGGTTAGCAGCTGAGTGTTCAACCACAGAGCCATCAGGGCGCCTTAAGGTTGCAATAGCATCCTCAAAGAAGTGCGCTGTTCTCCCGGAGAGGGAGGGCCCTGCCAGCATATCATCCTGTCACAAGGAGGCGGGTCTGGAGCGGCTGAGCAAGGCCTTTCCAGCAGTTAGAACTGCCCAACAAGAAAATGGGCTACCTCCAACCACGGCAGGGCTCCAGATGCAAGTGTGTGCTGGGCGTTCAGGGCCTGAGGGCCTGACAGGTGTCTGCTGGCAGGCAATTTCTCCCTTTCTGGTTTGACACTTCACTCTATGAGCTAGCACTTATCACCCATCACAGTGACAGGCATTTCTAAACCCTAAACCCTCAACTTGGTTCCGGGCAAGTTAGGGTCTAACTCCGCTGGAGAAGGGGTGCAGGAAAGAGAACTCTCCTCACTGCTCAGCAGCGAACGTCATTTGAGAGAGGAATTGGCCTATCTATCGACACTGAAGACAGCAGGGCTGGCTTCTTGGTGTCTGCCCCGGGAGAACCTTGCACGACTACAGAACAGGGTGGCTCTGTTCACAGTGGCATAGCCTGTAAAGGGAGGCAACGGGGACCACAAACAGGGCACTGGTGTGTATGCCTTGTCACACAGCAGTTACAAGGGGACCAGGGGTCTCTCCCCGACAAAGCAATGAGTTAAAAGAGCAGAGTCTGGCATCTGTTCAATGTGACACCATTTCAGTAAACCACTCACCCATTCAAGTACATGCATAAAACCCAAACCAAACCTGTTGCCACTGAGCTGATTCTCACTCAGAGCGACCCTATAGGGCAGAGCATGACTGCCCCATAGGGCTTCCAAGGCTGTCGTCTTTATGGAAGCAGACTGCCATATCTTTCTCCTGCAGACTGAGTTCAACCACCGGCCTTTGAGTTAGTAGCCAAGTGCTTTTACCACTGTGCAACCAGGACTCCTTAAGCACATGCATGCCATTTTAAAAACCAGGAACATGTAGGTATAGTTACAAATGCATCTGGCAGAGGAAAGATCTAGAACCCAGGCCACCTGGGGAGAAGGGCATGTGCAAGAATTGAGGACTTCAGTCAAAGAAAACTTGGACTTCTCTCTTTGTTCTGGAGGACGGTTTCCCTTTTCTCAAGAAGAATTTGTTCATGTATTCCCTGTGTCATTAAAATCAATTGCCAAAATTGACACGTGTGTGTGTGTGTGTGTGTGTGTATTTGTACAACCGACCGAGACAAGCTTCTGGAGTTGGTACCACCTTACCTGCAGAAGGCCTGCGAACTTGACCACTCCCCAGCCAAGCCTGGACACATCAGGCTCCACCAAACTCATCTGGTAGATATCCACAGCCAGGAATCGCTGGACCATGCTGCCATCCTTGGTGATGACCGTGCACGCGATCAGGTCACTGTTATCTAGGAGGAGGGAGACAGCAGGATGAGGACGGTCTGACTACCCGCTGGTGCTAGAGAACCTTAGCAGACTCTGGGGCTGTGGGCAGCAGAGCTCAGTGGCCAGAGCACAGCTTGGAGTCACACAGACCTTCATCCCAGCCCCAGCTCGGCCAGTAGCACTCATGCATTTCTTGACCTCTCTGGGCCTCAGGCTCCTCATTGGACAAATGGGGATGATGCCCACCCATCTCAAAGCACCGTCTGTGTGGGTGAACTGATGTAACACACACAAAGCAGTAGTATGACTGCCAAAGGAGCAGGGAGGCGGCACCTTCTGACTGACTCTAACTCCACAAGAGGAAGACAGAATCACCATCAGCAGCCCAAGGCCTGTTGTTATAAGGCCAGACATACTGCCACCCTTCAACCCTCCTATTAACCTTGACACCAGCTGTTCCTCCTGCAGCACCCACCACCTCACTGCTGGGCTCAATAATTCACTGCAGTGGCCACACAGAACTCACAGATTGTGGGGTTTATTAGGGAATCAACAGGCTAATTCAAGTTCAGGAACACACTCAGTCTCTTGCACCTGGCCATCTCACTCGGCAGTCTTTCTCTCAGTAGGATGGGTCTTTCGTGTCTCTCTCTCTCAGCAAGTGCGTCTCTCAGCCAGCAGTGAATGATATTCCTCCTTTCTGCCTCTAGGAGGGCTCACTTTAAGCCTGGCAGAGTGGCAAAACCAACCAATCCCAAGACCAGAATCCCACACACCTGAGAGAGAGAGAGAAAGCGAACTTCCCAGAAAATAGCTTTGTGCTGCTCTCAACAGAAATACCCCAGATGAATAACTTTAATAATCAAAAAACAAAACAAAACACCTCACTGCTGTGTAGTCGATTCGACTCATAGCGACTCCTCACTGAGTTTCCAAGGCAGTACCTCTATGGAAGTAGATCGCCCAATCTTCCTCCCGAGGAGTGGCTGGTGGGTTTGAACCTCCAGCCTTCTGGTTAGCAGTCAAATACCTTAGGTACTATACTACCAGAACCCCCACTTTAACAATCAGGAGCTACTTAGTTGCTCATGGCAGACTCCACCATGGAGTTTATTACAAAGACTATGGCCAACTCGATGGCAAACAACAACAACAACAACAAATGGCTAGAAAAGCCATACTATGTAATTTACTACACTGCAATGACATTGGCTGTATACCAAGTGCTCAAACTTAAGTTAAAAATCCCGCAATGTACAATGATCCCCCTAACATGCAGGGCTTCTTGGTACACAGATGGCATTGCTAGGTGTGAGGTGCTGGCCAGCTTTAGTGAAGACAGGAAAACAAGCAGCTCCTGCTCAGTAAGAGAATCACTAGGTCCCCAACTTGGTGTATGGCAACTGAAGCTGAGCTCTGCACTGAGTGGATGTGAGACCCTGGGCAAGGCACTTGGCCCCTCCCAACCACAGTCTGCCTGCCTGTCCTATGGGAACAACGGTCCTTATCTGGAGACAGCTGGTGCAATCGATGAGAGCCAAGGGGTAAAGCAGGTAGCATGGGGCCTTGCACGTAGTGGGTGCCCAGCAAATGTTAGGTCCTTTTCTGACTCGATGTCTAATTTAGTGCCTGTCCTTGACCTTGAAATGACCAGAAGAACAAACCCAACCCAAATCCACTGTCACTGAGTCGATTCCAAATCACGGCGCCACTAGAGGACAGAGTAGAACTACCACGGGGTTTCCAAGGCTGTAAGTGCGTAAACCTTTCCGGGAGCAACGGCCTCACCTCCCCGCGGGGCTGCTGGTGAACACAGGGTCATCAGCTCTATGGCTGGGTTTGAGTTCCCTCTGACGGGACCCGCTGACACTTAGGTTTCAAAGGAAACAGCTGAACCAGGAAACAACCTAAATAGCCCCAAACAAGGGAACAGTTTGAGTATGATTTTTTTTCCATCAGGTGGGAAAATTATATAGTCATTTAAAAATTATGTGTTTAACCAAACCACTAACCGTGGTTACCTATGGGGAGGGAAGTGAGAGCTGAGGTTGGGTTGTGTCAGAGGAGGTATCAATGGGGAGCTTTCATTTTGCTCTAGGTACCACCAAGGCTGGAAATTATTTTTAAATGAGAAAGTATTCACGATGTGCTTCTGAAATACATGGACCAATGCAAAGATCATTTTTCTAAAAATAATTGCAATGATATTGGGAAACACATGAAAATTTTAAGTGAAAAGGGATAAAAACTTTATTACTATGATATTGATATATTGATGGATATATTTGGTGGGGGGAGTATCCCTGCAAAGAAACAGGAGCTCTGGTGGTGCAATGGCTAAGTGCTCGGCTGCCAAGTCAAACGCTGCTGGCTAGAACCCACCCACAGACTCTGAAGGATAAAGACCTGGGGATGCGCCCCATAAAGAGGACAGCCCAGGAAACCCTATGGGGCAGTTCCACTCTGTCACACGGGGCCACTGTGAATCAAAAACCGACTCGATGGCACCTCACAGCCATGACAGAGAAATACAAGTGCAGGAAGATATACCAAAACATGAACAGAAGTCTCAGATTCGATAAACGATGGGAGAGAACTGCCGTCAATGCGTTGACTCCGCCGTGTGGCGACCCTGTGAGGTCGGAGTAGACTGTGCTCCACAGTGACTTCAATGGCTGATTTTTGGATGTAGATCACCAGGCTTTTCTTCTGAGGTGCCTCTGGTTGGCCTCGAACTGCCAACCTTTTAGTCAGTAGCCAAGCACATTAACTGTCTGCACCCCCAGGTGCAGACAGATGGTAGATGGGTTTTATTTTCCTAACTCTTAGACATCTTCTTCCATGAGAATCTTCTACTTTTTTAAAGCAAAAAATAAAATACAAGCACCCCCCCCACACACACACACACTTCTGTCTTTCCCTCCCCTTCTCTGTCCAGGAAGACTCAGCTTTCCTCTGTGCCCACGTTCACAAAGGAGTCTGGCGAGGGCTGGGGCTGGCAGAGAAGCACAGTCACACAGAAGCGGCCTTTGTTGACAAGGAACCTGCCTCCCTTACGGAAGCCCAGCGGCCGCCAGGGGCTTGAGGGGGAAGAAAAAACACACCACCCCTCCACCACAAAGAAGAAAAAAAAAGGAAGGAAAAAACCCTAAGTGGAACAACGTTCAGAAACGGAGCTGAGGCACCAAAGCCCCATGAGAAGACTGAGTGACTTCACAAGAAAACTAAACAGTGGCGTCCCCCGGAGCGCCAAGAGCCGAGCGCGGAGCCTCTCGCTTTTCAGAAGCTGTGGGGGCAGTTCAGGAGAAACGAAGCGCGCTTCTACCACAGAAAAGAGAACACAACCCAGCGGCTTGAGGAAACGCGGCTTACGGCTTACGTGTGACTGACTGTGGGCTGCTCCTCGCGCCGCCTGCGGGCTTTCCCAGGTGGTGCCTGGTGGGCACGGCCCTCTGCTCCCCTTTGGGTTGGTTGCCAAGGTGTCTCGGACAAGCAGGTGCCTGAGTTATGGAGTGTTGTCCTCACTCCACATCCTTCACCTGCTGCCTCCAGGCCCGTCTGCCCACCAGCTCTCGGGAATTTCCGCAAGCCCACGGAAAAGCAGGCGTACAGCTGGGGTGGTTCAACGGTGGGCCAGGCAGACCCAGCTCCTGCCCTCAAGAAGCTGACACTCCAGGGAGGCAAACGGACAAAACGCCAGCGGGCTCAATCACTGCAAGACGGACGCTGCAGAAGACGGGACCTGAGGAGGGCATGTAACCTGGGCCCTCAGGGCCGGAAGACGCTGAGCCGGCCCAGGAGCAGCCCAGGCACAGGGGGCAGCAAGTGCAAAGTGTGTGTGGGGGGCATGTTTGGTGTGTGCGAGGACACAGCTGGTGGCAGTGATGGCCAGAGCAGCTGGCCTTACAGCAGCACCAAGGAGGGATGTGGATTTCGATCTGACTGCCAGGGGCCATGCCAGCCGCTGCGGTCCAGTGAAGGGCCCAGGCAGGTAGCTCTGTTGTGGTGACCTCACAAGCCTCCCTGTCTGACCCTCCGTGGCCACTGCAAGCGATGGTGACACGAGGCTTCCCAGTCACCTGTACGCTGGTGCCTCCTAAATCCCACTGCCCGTCTGACTCTCCTGCGTGCTCCCTCCCCACCCCCAAGTTCACTTCAAGAAGGATGGGGCCTAGCACACTATATTAAAACAAAATCACAGAGAAGTATCAGAAGACAATAGAGGAAAAATAGCCACATGACCTCAGGGCAGAGCGAGGTTTCTTTAGAAGAAATCAGAATCCATCCAAACAAATAAATAAATACAAGACTGGTAAACTGACTACATCAAAACAAACACTTCTCATGTAATCAATGACCGAATGACCCTATAAGCAAACAGACTAGGAGACACGTTTGCAAAATCTCTCCCTGGAGATGGATAAAGTCATCTGTGTCAGGAACTAGTCACAGACCAGGGGGTGGGGATACCAGTAGACAGACACAAAGGTGCTCACCCCTGCAAGAAGCGAGATGCCATTTTCTACCCAGTGGGCTGACAAAAGTTAAAATATCTGGCGATTCCAGGCATTGATGAAGATGAAGAGCAATCGGCATGCTCAGCCCGCTGCTAGCAGAATTCACCTTTCACAGCCATCTTGAAGGACAGAGTAGCTGAATTTATTAAAACTCAAAGTTTCACATCCTAGAGCCTCACAAGTACAATATTCTCCAGAAACACAACACACGTGGGCCCAGCTTGCACAAGGATGAAGATGGCAGAGTTTGGGTTTTCATCGACCCAAATGTCTGCCAGCAAGGGAAAGCCTAAATAAAGATGTACATTTCCCCCACCACAAAACTCTATGGTAATGAAAGGGAAGAACTGGGTCTCTAGATGTTTCAACTCGGTTAAGTCTAAAGAGCGTACTGTTTAGTGGAAAGAGATAAGGGCAGCGTGATCCATACAATAGAACGTGATTGTGTAAGATTACACCATGCAGATGCCACTGCACTTTCTATGGGCTCAAGCATGTGTGTTGAG